GACGAGACAAAAGATTAAAAATAACATTTTTATAAGATTTTCTTTTTTCAGTACAGGTGACAAAAAAAGAATAAATAACTCAATATCTACACAACTATTAACATTTTTTTTTGTACATCATTTACACTTTTACATGTTTTTGTATTAACATTTTTTTACATTTTTAACATTTTTTAGATTTTTTTGACACGTGGTCAGTTCCATCATCAACATTCTTTCAAAAAAAGAAAATCAGACCTTTTTTTTAAGCTACATCCTAAAATTGGCAACTTTAAATATAAACCAGGATCACACACACAAACACACACACACTGTCTGAACACCCTGTGGCGACTGCATGATTCTGAGAGGAAACGTCGATCACGCTTCAGTTTCTCTTCACACGCAAACTCCAGTTTTACCATTTAACACTTGAAATGAGATTTAAAAAGAAAAACTGTGCAAATTAAACTCTGCTCCAGACGATCAGAGCAGACACGTCTGGAAAACGTCCCCGCGAGACGTTACAACGCTCCCGTGTGTTTTTCATTTCACGTTGACGAGGATGAAACGACACCAGCGTGGCTGCTCTGACCCTCTGTACAAAAAGAATAACTTCTCTTTAGCCTTTAATTAAACAGTCTTAGATTAATAACAGTCAAAAACATTCTAGGAAAGAAACACCACATGTTTTGGCAAATAATTTCTTCAACAACGAGAACTGTGTCTGCTCCGATCCGAGGACCGAGCGTCACACCGCAGCACCTTTGAGTCGACCGGCGTTCACCTGCCAAACGTCACTCGTTTGTCCTCAAACTCTCGCACCCTGGAATGTGACGTCTCAACATGCACCAACACTTTCACTAACTAAAATCTACCAAATCTATCGGGAGAATCCGGAGCACTCAGCTGACAGTTGCACGAGTCTCCTCCAGCACCGCAGCTTATTCAGCAATAAATTAAAGGACGTTGGGGGGGGCAGGAGGTCAGAGGTTGGCACAGGAGGCTTCAGGCAAGGAGGTGTTGACGTTGTTTTTGTTGGCGGAAGTGTAGAGGGAAGAAGGGCCCTTCAGCGTCGCTGCCCGGGGAGCTGCTGAGCGACTCCTCACCTGAACTCATCACGTCCTCACATGAGTCCTCGCTGCAGAGACAAAGAGACAAAGAGACGCTGTTAAAGGACAGACATTCAGCTGAGTCACTCATTAATGAACTAACATCAACTGTCCCCTGCCGTCTGCATGAGGTCTCTTTAAATTGAGCTTTCGAACCCTAACATCACACAGGAGATCTCGAGTTCTGACTCCTGATGAGTGTGACTCAGGTTTCCTCCGTCTGTGAACGTCTGTTAACTGATCACCGTGGTCCAGGTGTGGTGCGTGACGTCATTACAACTAAAAGTTTGAGGATCGCAGGTTTTAGTTAAACTTCTGTTGACACTGAGTCCGCTGGGAGGAGTCTCCTTGTTTGCGTTGACTCGTGTTTGCTTTTGCTGTCTTGACAGAAAACTTCTCCTGAAGTTCCATGTTAGGTCAAGGGTTGGGTTAGACGTCATGGAAACGTCTGTGTCAGTGGGACGTGACGACTGACTCGCACATTTGGTAATACAGCGCTGAGAGATATCAGAGCTGGTGTGTGTGTCACAGCTGTTACAACACAACAGAAACCTGTGTGTTGCTGCAGGACTGGTTACTTAAGAGGAGTGTTGCTGCACACACGCACGCACACACACACAAAACTCATTTCATCTTTTTGTGACGGGCTTGAGAAGGAATGACACATTTTGATCTGAAACAGTTTCAACTTCTGTTTAACTGGATTACAGAGTATTTACTAAGAAGTTTCACAGTGTTCATTAGTGTTGTCATAGAAACAGACGTGTGTGTGTGTCAGTGTCAGTTTTCTTTTGAATGCCTCTGATGTCAGTGTTTCCTGGTGTGAGCGTCACATGATGAATCCAGAGCTTCTGTTGTGTGATTGCCTGATTGTTGGAGTTTGAAACAGAACCAGGTTCAGAGGGATTTGATTTAATTCATTATAATTTTTAGGACCATGATGATCTGAATTCATTTTAAGTAGCATTGAATGTTGACATAATGAGGTCGTACGTAAACATATATAAGAACAACTAGGTCAACTTTTAGCATATTTATAACTAGTGGGGGCCTTAAGTTCAGATCATTTAATATTAGCCTTTGTGAGACTCCTTGGAAAACCTGTTCTATTACGGACATCTTTCTGTGGCGTGTTTGAACCTCTGACCTTTCGCTCTCGTCCCAGCCTCCCTCGGGGATGGTGGGCAGCTCGGGGACGCTGCGGTAGCTGTGCAGGTTCTGGGCGGTCCGCCGCGACACGATCCACTGCAGCTTCCTGTGGTTGGGCTTGCTGCACTCGGGCGAGGAGTAGTCCGACAGACACTGGGCCACGCGTTCGCTCCACAGTCGCAGCTCGCCGTCCGCAATCTGAAACCAGACAACACAGCTGGTCAGTTTAGACGCTTGTGCCGCGGCCCCGTACATGAACCGACATCAGGACATTTTAAATAACACCATTACTTAACACACGACTGTAAACAGAAACCTGGGGTCTCTTTCTAGGTCAGGAAGTGAAGAGGGACCAGCCTCGGAGCGGGGGAGGGGTGCTTTTCTTTTTCATTCCTCAAATGTTATGAGATGTTTGAATTTATACTGTACAACATAATCAATCAATCAATTAATGCTGCACTGATTGCTGAGCTGCATTCATGGAAGTCACGAAACAGAATGTGGTTTAAAAACCGATTCTGTTAGAAAACATGTCTCCACGTCATTTCAGACGTTCAGGTGAGTTTTTGTTGAAATTGAAAATAAGCCGGCGGTTTGAGAGGAAACATCCTGGTGACTTAAATAACATTATGGCAGCTACACGCACAGACCTAAAATACTACTACTCTCGAAAACAGTCCGGGATGAAAATACTCTCACTTAATAAAGAGGGGGACATTCCAGAGGGGAAGAACCAGAAAGAAGGAGGAAGGTAAAATGTTTAAAGTGAAGATTTTTGAATGTTGAGTTGAGTCACAAGACACCAGATTATATAACCACAGTCAAACTAACAGAGAATACACCCCCTCCCCCCTCACACACACACACACTGCTACAGATCCATTCAGTGCTGTGGAATCGTGAGCTGATCCAATTTTACCTAAATGAAACTGGTCATATTCGGAGGAATGAGACTCTCACTTCCTCTAGAAGGATTTTCTCGGAGCTGCTGTATGTTTTTGTTGTCCATGACACTGGGTGTCCAGGTGTGACTCTCCCTCCCCAGCGTGTGTCATGCAGCGTGTCATTTACCTTCAAGTGTCTCTGGATATGAGAGGCGATCTCCAACATGTCCTCCGACTGAACGGCTTTGATCTCCTGCCTCAGGAGCGACAGGGCTAAGACGGACGGCTGTGTGGCAAAAGCAGAAAGGAAGGAAAAACACAGAAACAGTGTTAGTGTCAAACAGGCAGCAGAGTTTTTGAGGAACTCATTAGACGGCTGTAATCCAGCCTGACCTCTGAACCTCCGCAGTGAATTCCTACCTTTGCTTTGGAGAAGGAGATTCGGCACAGACAGGCTTTGAGCTGAGCCTCCAGCTTCTCCAGGCTCAGAGTCTCCTTCCTGTTCACACACAGAGTCACGTTCAGGCATGTTTCTACTCTCACAAACAGAATCAACTTCCATCATCTCATAAACAACTTTTTAAGACAAACTGGGAAATAAAAGCAGTTAAATTGAATATTGACCTCGGTGGTGAATATTGAAAACACTATGAGGGGGTTATGTAAGTGTGAGATTCTAGTGCCAGCAGCAGGTGACAACAAATCTTATCAGTGCACTTCAGTCAGACGTCGGAGTTGACTGAAAGTAAACTGTCCTACATTAAGTGGAACCACTGTGAGAAACAAACAGGGGCGTGAAGAGGCTCTGCCAATCAAATCAGAGAAGAACCTGAACTCTGGGAGCTTCTGTTGGTGTTGAAATTTCACTAATTTGGCCTATACAGAAAAAAAAGAGTTTGAAGCTGATGTGAAAGACAAAATAAAACTGACTAAATGTTGACTGATAGGTCAAGAATCCCAGCAGGTAGATTTTAATAGAAATTAGTTCAAGCCTAAAGACGGTTCAGAAAAATAATCCACAGATATGTTTATTTTACAAATTTAACACATCACTTCCTGTTCCCTGTGACCTCACCTGTCCGTGGAGTGTGAAAGTGCGATCTGATGGTACAGCTGCAGAAACGTTAAGGCAGTGATGGCTTTGGACTTGAAGTTGAGCTTCTCGGAGACAATCTTCTCCATGCGACCGAGGTCAGAAACCGTGAATCTGCACTGTCCGATGCGGATGAGCTCGTCTGTGGACGTCACGTTGCAGTCCTCCGTCACTTTGGCCGCCATGTGGAGGCAGCTGAGGCTGACGCAGGACAGGTGCTTCGGCTGGATCTGAGGGGAGGGAAGGTGAGTTGGACACGGTTAGAAAACGGCTGAAGAATTCAAGACTTCAGAAAAGATGTGAGCGGACCCAAGTTTATTACAGAGCACTTCACTAAGCTGGCAACAAAAACACTTTAGTCTTCACTTGAGCTGTGATTCAGCAAGTTGATCAAGAAAGAAGGAAACAACACATTCAGCAGCGAGGGAATTTACTTTGCTAATGAAGAATGTTGTCTTGTTCAAGTCCTGGACTCTTTTCAGTGCAAGTATAACTTCAAGCTGAATGTTTTTACCAAAATGAATTAGACTTAGCTCTTTAAATTTATTTGCCTCTGCTGATAACTGATGCCAAGGCATTTACAAACTGCACAGGCAGACAAAACGCAGACCACCCCTGCTAAAAAAAACGAGTGCTAAGGTTTCCCATGTCTGCTCCTATCAGGTGTAAGAATCTCGTACCCTCATCATGGCCAGGAATCTGTCCAGCAGGTTAACAGCCAGGACGAAGGTCTGCGTGCTGTAACCAAAGAAGCTGGTGAGACTCCACAGGTCCTCAACTTTGGCATCTCTGCACTTGGCCGAGATCCGACTGTCGTCCTGGAAAACAAAGACGTGCTGATGATAAACCTGCTTCCTCTGTTACAAGAATAATAACTTCAGCGATGCTGTGGATCAACGAACCAGTTTGTCAAACGTTCTCACCTGTGTGGAGGATTCGATGAGGCTCAGTCCTGTTTCTTTAGGAAGATAAAAAACCTCCTGCTCATAATTCACCCGCAGCTCCTTCATCAGCTTATAGGCGTCCATGTCTCAGCTGGCACAGCAGGAAGTGATCTCGAATTTTCACAGTATTCACACTGCAGGAAACGGGGAAATGCAGAGATTCAGTCTCAGTGTGAGAGTTCTCTCATCAAACACCCAGACCATCATTAAACCAACAGCAAACTGATACAGGGAATAATCAGTAAGTCAATAACGTGGCACATTGTTTGATTTAACTTCCACCAATGTAAATACATTTCTATAAATCAGTAGAGAGATCCAATAAAATATGAATATATTAGATTTTAGGTGAACTGTATTTCACTGTAAAATATAACCTGCTTTATCTTTAATGACAAAAATCATTATTCTAACCTCCAGTAATAAACACATTAATGAAAACCATTTATCTCTGGGGGATGTTTAATTTTCTCTCCGCTGGTTGGAAACTGTTCAGTTCAACATTCCTCCGACACGTTGACGTTATAATGAGAATATTTAAGAATCATTTGTGGATGTTTGGTCAAAGAGGGTTCGATCGTCTCTGTGTGACTCTTGTGTTTCTCTCCCGGAGCCCGGAGCTCGGAGCTCGGAGAGCCCAGCCCACATCCCTCAGCTGGGCTCCGGTGTCAGATTTCCTCTGGTCGACGCCTTCTGGCCTCGAACCGAAAAAAAAAAACAACCGCTTTTCCACAGTTCCGCCGGTTAATTAAACAACCGACGGCAAACACAACAACCTCCGTTCAAAAGAAACCTCCATCTTTGTCGTGTTTTTTTCCGGACGCTAACGGGGGAAGCTAACGTTAGCCGCTGCAAGCTAACGCACTAAAGCCTCTCCGGTCGGAGGGAGCGGGGGGAGGGGCTGGTTGTTTATGAGCTTTATGAATTTAAACCGCTCGACTTCATTAATGACGTAAAACACGAACGATGTTTAATGGTGGAGACGTGTCGGAGAAAATAACCGAATAAAAGCTGGTTTGTGTTGTTGTTGTTGTTGTTGTTTGTCGTAAACAGAACCGAGGTTTTTTGTTTTTTTTTAAAGGTTGGACCCGAGGCAGAGACACGAGAGAGACCAACATCAGTCTGGAGACGTTTGTTCTTCACGAGCAGGATAAGACGGATGATGTTTCACCTCCGTCCAGCCCCAGTGAAGCAGAGGAAGCCCTCGGTGGATCCTTCTCTTCTGCGGGCAGAGACCAGGAAGCACTGTTCAAGTCCATCCGTCGAAATCAGAGGATTCAAGACGATGTTTCCAGAAGAAACCCAGAGACGTGTTGTCCACCTGTTTGTGTAAAGATCTCCTGCTCGTGAACGTTCAAATAAAGAAACGTCCCTTCGTCGACCGATCACGTTCGTGTTTCCTGTTCTTTCACTTTCTCTCAGTTTGTCTCGGTGAAATCTGTGAGAGCGGAAGTTAAATGTTGCGTTTACCTGCTGCCGAAGTTAAATCCTCATCTCTGTTGTGTCTCCTGTGTCTGTGGACTCCTTCCTTCCTTCGTCCCTTCCTTCTTTCCTTCTCTTTCTCTTTTCTGTCTCTTTCTCTCCTTTGTTGATGTCCACAACGCTCACGCCCACAGGCTGCGTCACGCGGATTGCAGCCAATCAGAGGCGCGGGTTCCAGACCCAGAAGTCCCCTCCTCCCGTGTTTTGCTGCTCGATTAATCGCTTATTTTTAGCGTTTGACTCGATTTTTAACAAAGAAATGAACAAATGTTATTAAGTGATCGATGATCAATCACAAATCAATGGATGGATTCCGCAGGAGGTTAGATACAACCGATCTTCTGTGTTAGACGATCCCCACTGACTGGCCGCTGCTTCAGCCAATCAGCGAGCCGCACTTTGGCACGTTCAAATATTCCGCCCAAATTGGGACGCTCTGATTGGCTAACCGATGAGCTGAGCCCTGACGCAACGTTGGCATTACGTAGTGCCTTCTGTCATTTATTTATTTAATAATAATAATAATAATAAATAAATAGAAGAA